TATATATATATATAATAACACAGGAAAGGTAAAAGAAAAGACGGATTAACGAAGAAAATTAAGAAAAATAATGATAAGTGTTATTTACTTCGCAAGAAAATAGAATGCATAGAAAAAGTTAAAAATATAGGAAAAACATGAAGAAACATTTAAAGGGGAATAAAAGAGAATATTTAAAAGAGAATTATATTAATACTATAGCCGAAGCAAAAACAAAAATTGATTTGGCTATATTAATACAATATTAGAAAGTACTCTTTTTTGTGTGGATATAATTGTGTGAGCTGATGATAAAATTATATCTTTTCCTAATTTTGTTTTCGAGTTTTTTTTAAAATTTTTTTGAATAAAAAATATGTACAAAAATTCTTTTTTAATAGTTTTACACTGCTCGATTTAAATGGCCCAATTTAGCGTTTCAAAATTTATTTGTAAAAAATAGCACTATTGAGGTGTAATGGTTCGAACTGCGAAACTAAATCATATTACATCACTAGACCATTAGTTCGATATTTTGTTTTTTACACAAAGAAAAAATAACGTTTAACGATGATACTTTGTTTCAACTTAAAATCGACGTGCAAAATTTCAAAATATGAATGACATCTATTAGGATAGCTGAACGTATCGAAAAATGTTATTTTTATTAAGAAATGTATATAAATAAGTGAGAATATTTATTTGTGTATATTTGTACTTCATACAAATCTGGAATTCTGAATTAATCCGGGTCAAATTTGCTGTACATACTCTCGAAGATACGGCGGACTTAATAGTCTACTTTAAAACTCTCTCTGACCTCCGATTTGTGGGGTGCATTCGAGAATATTCCAAAGAATTTCATATATATTTTATAACATCTGTGATTTACTAGCTTGTACCTCTAATCAATCAAAAATTTGTTTTATCGCACGTCTTGATGAATTTTTTTTATCTTTGGTTTCCTATGCTAGATTATCACAAACAAAATCAATATTAATTCGCAATTTAAGGGAATGACGTCACAGAATGAGTATTTCAAAAGGTATATGAAACTTCGTATTTCTTAGATTGATACTCTTTTATTGCGTGTTTCTATAAACTTAATTAGTAAAGACGCAACAAGAACTAATGAAATATTTTTAGTTACTCATTAAGACATGGGAAAATTACATTAAATTCGGAATTTTACATTTAACCGTTTACATTAAACCGTTTTCCATGTTATTAGATAGGGAAATAGTCTAGAGAGGAGAAACATCCTCGTTCCTATTTCGTTCCCAATTTTGCCCGTTTGCTAACCCACTTGTGGTTTAGATAGCGGGCAAAATTGGGAACCAAATAGGAGCGAGGATGTTTCTCCTCTCTAGACTATTTCCCTATCTAATAACATGGAAAAACGGTTTTGCTACGCAGAGAAGTCTGCAGGTTAAAATACGACTGCTTAGGTGCAGAAACGTCAGTGGGTTAAAGATACTATATGTATAGTTAATCTTTCTTTTAGTGAGTTGAAATTTTATGTCAGATTACGGTAAATATAAAAGTATGAAGCTACAACGGAAAATACAACAAATAATAATAATAAAAATATTAGGTGACATAAATGTGTAGGATGGTGATATTAGGGTACTTATTCGTTTCGATGGAAGGTAAAAAAATCTATATTATGCACCTTGGTATAATAGGTTCTTAATACCTTAGCACTGATAACGACAAGACTAGAGAAATATAAAATTACATTTATTTAAGCATTACTGGCGTCAATTATAGTTTGGCGATTTTTTATGGCATTTGAAGTAAGTACCGATATTAATTCGTTTGTCAGAAATGATTATAGAAACATTAGTGTCGTTATTAATTATTTTCGAAAAATTACATATAAATAATTTTGGTGAAAGATTGAAAGATAAAAAAATATCATATTACAATGCTAAATTAACGGAGAAAAGGTATTTCGTGTACACAAACTTTAAGAAATTTCCATATTATTATTAACGCCAATGATGCTTAATTGATTTTGGTAATAGGTTCAAATTGGAATGAGAAAAAAAAATTTGTACTGAGAAGTTTAATTAAAGAAAATGGGTGTTGCATCTAGAAAAAAAAGAATAAAAAATCGCACTATCATTATTAACACTTATGATGCTTATTTAATTTCAGTAATTGGTACTATTGGCATGATGTTTTTAATAAACTACTAAATATATTAATATTAGTACTAAGATATCAATGTAAAAATATGTTTTTTTCCTATAAAACATTTGGTTTTCATTATATAAAATTATAGTTTCAAAATGCGTGTATGTTTATTATGTTAACTGAATTAATTATATAAAAAATACGAAATTTTTATTTATCTTAAATATCACACGAAGGTCATTTAAAGCATTTTTAATTAACTTTTCTTGACAATTTCCTTTACATGTATTTTACTTTCAGAGCTTAACATAAGATTCCTTAAAATAATTTAATGTATTTTTTTTTAAAGGAACCAGAAACCGACATGGGCAATATTTGCTTTGGTAATAGGTTCAAATTGGAATAAAAAAATAAATTTTGTATTAAAAAATTTAATTAAAGCAGAAAGGTGCTACATCTTGAAGAAAAAAAGAATAGAAAATCACATTATCATTATTAAAGTTTATGATGCTTAATTAATTTTAGTAATTGGTACCATTGCCATTATGTTAATTGGTGTTTTTAACGTAGACAAAAACGTAGATATGAAAACATTTGGCGTGTATCTCAGCTTATGGGAGCGTTGGCTATGAAAACTGCTCAAAAAGTAGATATTTATGAGACTAATAAATTTAATTTTAAGAACCAAACAAATTTTATGATTTGTATAATTTGTATTGAAAAATATACTTTGTATAATTTTATACAAAGTGAATAAAATTATATTGTAAAGGAATAATCTGTAATTCTGTGAAGAAAAAATTATAAATAGTGCTGAATAAGGTTTTAATAGGATTAAAACAACATTATTGTTTGATTTTGTATAATATTGTTTCAATCTGAAATATCACTTGTAGATTGAAAAACATTATTTATCAAGTTTTTTTTTTACCGAATTACATATTATGTCTCTACACTTGCATAGTTTGTACAACAAATTATGCATTGTTTATTTTTTAAATTTTTTATAGCATTATAAATGTTATAAAAGATGTAACTATGTTTAGAGAAATTATGCATTATTTAACATGAAATTCATTGAATTATTCTATAAAATCTTTAAGAAGAAAAGAATATAAAATTTAAAAAAAAATAGCTATAAAACTGACTTATGTTAAAAAAACAAACATACGATCTTATTTTAATATTAAATATAATTTACATATTATTTAAAAATATTATTTAAGGAAATATTATTTTTAAATAAAGTGTAGTTGTGCTAAGTTGTCTACTTTTACGTCAACAACTTAACACAATATTCTTTAAACTAGTTTTGTAGGTTTCTGTATGAAAAGGAAATTCAAAATTGGAGAAAATTTATTTTGATATAATAATAACTTTAAATCTACAGAGAGTACACAGATATATTCCACTAAAATGAATTCTAAAAAATAAACAAATTACGTTATACTAGTCCCAAACATCACCTGTAGATTGTTTATTAAATTTTTCTTCGGGCAAGAAAATTTTAATGCTGCACAATTTTTTTATAATTCAATATACTAATTCAAAAAGATCCCTTAAAATGCTTTTATGTATTCATGAAAAAAACAATCTTTAATGACAAACGCATTTAAAATTGAAGGAAAATAAATCGATAAACGTGAATGAAAGCGTCAGATAATGCTGGAGATTCGAAATATCATTCAAGGAACATACCTGGTCTGTAGACTACTTCTGAGGAATTGATGATGCCAGTTCCAAATAGTAATAACAATAATAGGAAGATCATCGTCTGATCCGAGTTATCCGGAGCAGACGACATTATCTTTATTTTGTTCTCTGACCTCCAGAAGGGGGTTGAAAAAAAATCAGGGACCGGAAGCTCCCTGGTGATTGTGAGAATCACGCAGAAGACCTGTCATGGCTGACTCGAGTGTGCGCCTGCGCAGTTGGTTTATAGAACAAATTTGTGAAGAGAAGGTGTTTTTTTTTTAAAGAAATTATTCATGAATAAAAATTAATGAAAAGAAATCGAGCAGGAAAACTGAAGGAAAATTATTTCAATTGAACACGCAGAATAATTTTTAAAGAAAATATTTTATAAGACAAAAAATAATTTCAAATATGTTTATTTTCAAAAACTCTTTTTTAAGGATTTGTATTGTCAATATATATTATTTAGTATTGTTTGAAAACAACACTTTAGAGATCTTTTGTTATTCATTGATAAAAGCAGTAAAAATAAATATATATAAATGAAAACAAATTAAAAATGTTTTTTTAAATTGTTCAAAATATGGAAAATAAAAAAAATCAAACTTTTTTAAGGATTTTTAAAGTAAAATTTTAATATTTTTCGTTGCTTGTAAAACGCAACACATTAGAGATAACGAATTGTTAATAAATAAAAATGATTAAAGGAAATTGAGCAAAAAAATAAACTAAGGAACAATTTAAAAAAAATTATGTTTAACAAAAAAAGAAAAAAAAGAAAAAGAAAAAAAGAACGAAAACTAAATTTTGAAAAATATTATTACTTTTAATTTGAAAAGGAAATAATCAAATAATTTAAATATTAGAAATTAAAAATCTTAAAATGAACTTAAAAACTTGTAAAATTTAGTATCGCGCTGTTTACCAGTAAAACAAATATGTGTTTGAAATTTTTAAGTATTTCTTAGTGCTATTATTCTAATAATTACTCCATTGCAATAAGAAAATAACTCCACTCATTATATTAATTATAATATTTCGTTAAAATTTATAGTAAATTAAAAATTTACTTTGTTTGTTAATAGTAAATATCAGAATTTTACAGACGAAATTTTTTTGGTTAGGTATACATATTTATTTTTAAATTGATTATTTAACAATTTAATTAAATTACATGAATACATAATTTTAAATATTACATCACCTCTTTATAAAAATATCACTACTGTTTTTTTACAAACCTGGATCTTTTATCAGTTGAACTACGTAAAAAGTTATCATGACTACTTTTTGTTATTGAAGACCATTTTTAAAGTTATAAATAAAACTAATTTAAAGTATCATTTGTAAAGTATCAAGCATCATCAGTAGATATTATAAAAATATTTTTATGAAATGCTGTATTTTTAAAAGAAAGTATCCACTTAATTAAAAAAAAATAGACTGATTTATTTTAAAACATTTAAATTTCATCAATTTCTTCAATTTTTGTCATATACTCTGTGTAGTCTGTATACTCTGTGCTATCGGTTATATTGCAAAATAACCTTATAGTTTTCTAAAATGTTATCTTTTTTTTATCCTTTTCGCGTGCATTTAAAGTTAAAAATAAAACGGCAAAAATCTTGGAAATTACATGTTTTATTTATAATTAAAATAAGTAGATTAATTAACTCAAATACTTAGATGAGTATTAATAAATATTTATGCTAAAATAAGTATATTACAGCTTAAAAGTTAAAAGACTTAAATTTATAAATAAAATGACTTTCAAAATGTCAACAATGTGTATTAAAAACAACAATTTGATTAAGATAAAAAAGAATTTACTTCATGAAATATAAGAAAAATATACTTCATTCAATATAAGAATAATATACTGCATATAATAATGGAATAATATTATTGAATTTTATTTGGAATAAGAACTCAAAAATTCGAATCGCTTGTTTATAATATCGTTTGTTAATAAAAAATAAGCATAATAAGTCTCTCCAACGCTAGCAACACTTTTACACTCCCACATTGCCATTTTTGGGCTAGGGGAAATGCATAGTGGAAATAACAAAAGTTTCTATATTTGTTTCTATATTAATTTTGATCATGAGCATAGTGAAAAGTATGTTCGTCTAGCACTAGGAACGGAGGTAAGCAAAGAAAAATAGAGAAGTGAGGCTCTTTTCTTGGTAACAGAGGGGGAGAGGAAACAGTAAATTTGTCAACTCATGTTTGCTGTCTATAAAAAAAATACTTTATGCTTTTTACAAATGTGCACGAGTAGCGAAAGAGAATGATACTCACCATAAAGTCAAAGCGCCCTGGAGTTCTGTGAGGTGGAATAATCCTTTCACATACTGCTTGCTTGGTGCTTCAAAAATTTTGCTGGGAAACACTTTCACATCCTTTGTACGACTCCGATCTCTCATCTTGTGACTTATTAATTTTTTATGACCTGAAGAAAGACATTCGTATAGATAGGTTTCATTCGGATGATGAAGTGCAAAAAAGGGTGAGGTTGTGGACATATCAAAAATCTATTTACCTTTTTCTGAAAGGTAGGAATTGCTCGCCTCATCTCCCTGTGTATTTAATGTATTAAAGCCTCTGAAAATTATTTTTGAATAAAACATGACCAACTGTCTTTTTTAGTAGGTGTTCGGTTTTGATTTAATTAATTATTCGTAGTATATTTTTGATTTAAAAAAGTTTGTTTTTGGCATGAGGGGTAATACTTGTCGTAAACTCTAATTAAATCACACTGAAAAATGGATGCTATTTATATTACTAATGCTTAGCTATTTTGACTAATTTACAGCAATAAACGTACCAAACCAGAACACACATAACAAAGATTTCCGAAGTGTTACTCGCCAGCCGAGTTGATTTTTTTTTTCCTAATAGTTCTTATATAGGAAATAATGTATATGATGTATATGCAATGTAATATAAAGAAATAATGCATGCCTATGTTTTAATTTGTCTAATTCTGTATGACAATTAAGTTATGAATAACTAATATTTACAATTTTAAACTTCTTGTAAATTTTATTTGTTCCGTAGACAAGGAAAATTATTGACTGAATAAAGTTGTTTTAATTCACGATTTTTTTCCTCCTTAATCAAAAAAAATTTCATAAAATTTAAAAGGCTACAATTAAAATGTTTATGTTTATAAACTACAATTCCATTTTGTTGTAACAAGTTCCAAAGTTTCTGCATTTCACAAGCTTTTTTTTAAAAGATAATTATTTAATTTCTGAATTAGTACTACAATAGAAATCTCTAAGTAAAAATGGCTAAATACCAATTTATTTAATTCTCATTTTACCAGATTCAACAAAAACAATCAAATAACTATGGAATATCCAAACCATTAAATGTGACAAAAGACGTTTATTGATTGTTTTTACCTAGTACGGTTTAACAACCAGAATTCTATCCGTGCCAACTAGGTCTACCTTATGAAACTATTTTAATACGGTTTAGCAACAAGAATTCTATCCGCGCCAACTAGGTCTACCTTATGAAACCATTTTAATACGGTTTAGCAACCAGATGTCTATCCGCGCCAACTAGGTCTACCTTATGAAACCACTTTAATACTGTTTAGCAGCCAGAATTCTATCCGCGCCAACTAGGTCTACCTTATGAAACCATTTTAATACGGTTTAGCAATCAGAATTCTATCCGCGTCAACTAGGTCTACCTTATGAAACCATTTTGCTCCGTGTAGCTAAGTACTTACTGTAGATGAGAGTGCTAATCTGTCGAACATGGGTTCGATTCTCAGCCTTGATACCATACAATAGTTCTGACATTATTTCAATACATGAAAAGTTTGTAGTGTCTTGTACTTTTTAATTGGTGATCCTACATTATTAGAATACGAAACTATCATTCACTCATAAATATTCGCGCATCCTCACGACTCCAATATCCATTTAAGTTTCATTTTGATGGTTTAGAAACTATGTTAGATGTAAATGGTTACAAAACCATAAGGATTGAAAAATGTTCCTAACCGTAAATTTTACGGTTGATTGGATGGACTGACTGTAGCCGGTTATTTTACCGTAGAATGAACAAAATGAAAATTTCAACATTGTATAACGAGATGGCATTTGAAGTTTAAAAGTAATTCTTCAAATTAAATTTGTTATCACACATTTTATGAAGCTTATGAAATCCTTTACAAATGTTTTACTCAAATATAGGTTTCGATAGTTTAATATCGCCCTAAATAAAGCGAAATAGACCAAAAAGTTTATAGATTATTTCTTATTAAAAAGAAGAAAAAGATCAGCTCGATGTGCGATTGACACTTTTTCCTTTTTATAAGAAAAAAAAAGGTATGAAATTGGTTTTTTTTTCTCTTCATTTTCTGAAAGCTGGAAGGGCATCTTTATTTTGTATTTTTTCTCTCGACAGACTACGACATATATTTTTATGACATATTCTTATTAAACCGTCAAAACCCAGTGTTTATCCAACTGAGAGTTTTCACGATGTCAATCACAAAAGGACTAAATACTAGTACTGTCATTGACATTCGAGAATCATCTTATGTAAGCTTTACTGAAATGCAAAGCTTAGCAAACAAACCCAAATAAAGGCGATTTAAGCTAGTTAAATTATCTTGAATGTCTATAATTAGTAAGTTTCATTTTTTCTTAGAAAAAAATTATGCTGCGTTTAAAGATGTAAAACAGGACTAGTAACAGGAAATTTTACAAATCTATGTATGAAGAGTAAAGTTTAGTTTTACATTAAATAAAAAGTAATTATTTTTATCTAATCGCTTCATCGTTCTTTTAACCAAATTCGGTTATTTTTACTGAAGCTCATTGGTGTAAAATCTAATAATCTAATAATGATTTTGATAAAAATTAACAATAAAATATGGTTTAATAATATGTTTCAAAATCTGGTAAATTTGGTTACATTTGGTAATTTTATCATGATATCTTAGATCATGGCATAAAAACAATTTTTTCGGTGGAGTTTACTTTTCAGTTTTCTATGTTTTAATAAATATATGGGAAAAATAATTTTGAAAACCAGAATTTTAGGTAAACCGTTTCCATATGAGTGGAAAAAAGAACCTATTGCATGGCATAAATACCATATATTTTGGTTAACCTGAAATGGTTTTAACATAGGGCAGGGTAATTTTACCAATATATTTTCTCCGTGTATAACCTGAAAATTTGGTTAATGAATCAAT